AACAAAGCTGAATACCATACATATAAATAGCCGTGAAAACTTAAGAATAGATAGATAGATAGATAGACAGACAGACAGATAGATTGAGAATTTTCACCATATACTTTATAGCATGCAATATAACCCACTCTCTAAACAGGAGTTTGTAGCTAATTGCCCTTGGACTGGAGGCAGTCTTAATAACTTGTATTTGTCCCCCTAACGTTATGAAGCTGAAATGCAGAGATACAGAAGCAAAATGGACTTTATTTCAGAAACAGTGATGTTTCGGAGTTAGAATGGTAGACATTTCTCATTCCCACTTTAAGTCCTCTCTTTCACACCCAAACAAATTAAATTTCAGGCCATTTTTCAGATTTTGAAAAAAATCACAGAATGACTTTATCTTTTTGGATCTGGAATAAAATCCACTAACTCTTCACCTTCAATATGAATACAGAAGACGACAACTGGAATAGTTAAATACTGAAACCGGAATGGCCTTTGTCCAAATGGCAAGTTCACAGGCCTTCTTTTTCTGGTCCTAGAAGTTGAACATTATTACTGGACAAAGTCTACCATTAAAAATAAATGATTGCATCATGGAATGGTCAGTTACCACTATGCTGCCCAAATGTATGCTAAACCACTGAAATGGAATACAGAGAAATGAATATTTAGGCAATTCACATGGCCTCAAAAGTCCCCTGAGATTAACAGGAATATGTGAAAGTTCCTTGGAATCGAAAGTAAGAAATACTTGTTGAAATCGTCTTTTTTACAAGTTAGCATTCCAGCAACCATTTTTCATTATCATTAACTCTGGAACTATTCACAGCAGACTGCAGCCAGCACAATGGAGTCAGCTGAATGTTGAACAGCACATCATTACTTTTCAATCATTTCTGATTTAGGAAAGGGAGAGAGGGAGTTATTTTTCATGAGTAGAGCGACTTCATCAATTTGTTTCAAGCTTTGGAAATATCCAGTATGCCTTTCTAGTAGGCTCCAGGTTTGATGCCACTATTGAAAATGGCAAATATACATTTAAGGACTTTTTAAAAAACACTACAGCACCAGCAGTGCACCAGTCTTAATAGCCAAAAACAAAAATATTACCCTTTGCCAAAAATATGCACACGTCGAAACATTGGTGGTCTTTCTTTTTTACGATGTCCCTTTAATGTTAGTACCATTTTTCTTGACACTGCACACTTTGGAAAACTCACAATTCTGAAGGAAACATTTATAATGTTTTTTCAGTTTGGTGTACAACGAAACTGTTTTTCCCGAGTACGTAAAAGGCAGGAGCTTCTCATTGAGAAGAATCTGAACCTTATACTCATCTTTAGGAGACTTAGGTTGATCACAGTGATAAAGCACAAATAACAAATTGGCAGCATAAGGGACGATACGACCGCTACGGAACTTGCGTTTCAATTGACTGTGATAGTTGCTGGCGTTAAGAGGCACTTTGTCTTTAAAATAGCCCATGAGTGAGAGAAGTGGCTGAAGAGTCTCTGCATGTCCAAACTGGATGATCACTGGCGAAGAAATAGATTTTGACCTAGAAGTCAAGAAAGAAAGGATTACTCAAATTTATCCAAGTTCAGATGAATATGAAACTATTGTTTTGTTACTAGGTATTGTAGTCAAACCTGCTAGTACGGTAGAAAACCTAGATTTAATTGTAGTGATTTGAAGCTAAGAGGATCAATCCAGTCAGAAAAAGTCATGCTTTGATCAAATGATACATTCAAATAATGGTCAGTTCCTCAAAATAGGGCTTGTTTTTAAAACCCTACCCTAAGTACCTCAAAAAAACAATGACAGAGTCTCTAGCAGACTACAGAGGCCAGTTTCCTGAGGTGTTTGCAACTAACCTGTGAGCGGGCTAGGCTGAGAGGGAGTGACTGGCCCAAGTCACCCGGCCTGCTTTCATGCTTAAAGGAAGCTTAGAATTCAGTGTCCTGGGTTTTTGCCCAGCATCTTAACCACTACACCAAGTTGTCAATAAAAATATGTTTATGTTCTTTTTATTTTATTAAGGCAAAGGGTTATGTTTGACAATCCTGTTTGCACCATAACAACATAAGGGTATCACCCACATAGGTCAACAAACCTTGATTGCTAATCAAAAAAGATGACTTTCTCAACTCTTGACAAGAATTTTCCCTGGTTCTATTATCTTGCCCAAAAGCATATAAAGTGAAAGTATCTAATCAACCAACACAGTGTTTTAACTTTAACTCCTTTTCTTTGACCTGCACTTAAGACAGGGGTGGGATACGACAGGGTTAACTACTGGTTCAGGATTTACAAGCTTCCCTGCACGCTGCGAGCCACGCACCTGTAAATCATCATCAGCATGCTATGTGCAGAGAAGCAGCCTTTGAAACAGCCATGTTTTCCTGCTTTTTTAACTGCAGCTGTGCCTTGTTCGGCAGCTGAAGTTGAAAAATCAGGAAATAAAGATCAGGTTAAGAGCCCGAGTGGGCGGGTGGGCAAAAACATCAGCAGACATAGAACCGGTTCTATGTCTGCTGCTCTTCAGAGCTACCGGTTCTACAGAGGTGGACAGAACCGGTAGAAACCCACCCATGACTTAAGGACAACTGGCAACTCATATGGATAGAAGGAGTTGCTTCCAGAGAATGAGTACCTGAACTTGAGAGAAAGAAAGTTGGCAGCTCGATAGAGATAGCCATTTTGATATTTTTAGATTACTCTATGTATGTAAATGGTAACAAGTCAACAAGAATAAGTTTTCCTTCCACGTTATAAATCAGAAGATCATAAGCTCCCCAATCAATTAATGTGACAGATAATAAAATTTAATTATTCCTTATTCCTTTCAATATTGTTACCTTCCTTTGGCTTAAATGGAATGCGGAAAATGTATCTATTGTCCCAAAATATTAATAGTAAGATAATAAAATTTAATTATTACTTATTTCCTTATAATATTGTTAACTTCCTTATGCTCCAATGGAATGCAGAAAATATGAAACGTAACTATTTTTATTTATTATCTGTATCCTGCCTTTATTTTTTTAAACAAATAATCCAATTCAGTGAACATATTCAACACATTCCTCCTATTTTTTCCACAAGAATCCTATGAGGTAGGTGAGTTGGGCTGAGAGTGTGTTACTAGCTCAAGGTGACTCAGTTAGCTTTTAGGTGATATTAAAACTCACTGTCTCTTAGCTTTCTAACCACTTAACCACTTTGTAACTATATTAAATTCATATAAACTAAATGAAATCCAATTTAGTTTTTGTCTTGCCTCTACCTTCCATTTTAAATATGGCTCTCAAGAAAAAAACCTGCATGTAATCAAAAGTACAAACTGGGATGTTACTGAACTCCATTGTTCTAATTGTCATTATTAATATTTTGGGACAATAGAAATATATCCTGCATCCCATTGTAGAAAGGTCCCCTCTCGTTCAGAAACTGGAGGAAATAAGAGAGAAAATCCCCGTTCCCCAAGATTAAGCTTTTAAGTAAAAAAGGCTCCTGTGTTTCCTTTTAACCAAGTTTACCAAGCTCAGGTAGTTTTGGAGCGTAAGATTAAAGCATCTGTACTTCAAGAAAAGCAAAAAAGGAAACATGTAAGATACAGGTTAAGTACATAAAATACATAAGGTTGAATCTGCATATGAAAGCCAGAAATCATTAACCTGTTAACAGAATGAGCAAAGAAATAAAGAATTGCAATGGCAGAAAATGGGAGCAAAGGCTATTGAAGTGTCTACTCAAACTTTCCCTACCAATTCTATCTAAACTAGTTCTAGTTCCAATAAAGGAGACTATTTGTGGCTCAGGGTTGAACTGAGGTGTCCTTGGTGCTCCCTGAGCTTGGTTGTTTTTTTTTGCAGGCGTTTCATTACCCAAACTAGGTAACGCTGTCAGTGTCCGGCATTGTTGGTTCTAGTTATCCCAAGACTTTTTGGGCCCATCCTGAATCTTAGATATAATGGGCAAAAATACACTCCCGCATTCTTTTGCTGTGTTTAGGATTTTCCAGCTCAACCACCTAATTGAAGACAACAAAACGCCTAACTTCTCCGCATTAGTCTCACCCACGTCTCTTGTTGGAAGAGCACGATGGTTTTAATAGTAGAATACTTAGACCACCCAGCTCACCCAGAGCCCGCTAACCTGTTATAGTTTTACAGATCATCCTCAAATTACAAACATAATTGAGCCCAATTTTTCGGATACTAGGCGAGATAATTAAGTGAGTTCTGTCCCATTTCATGACCTTTCTTGCCACAGTTGTTAAACGAATCACTGCAGTTGTTAAGTCAGTAAGACCGCTGTACAGTGAATCTGGCTTCCCCAATGATTTGCTTGTCAGAGAGTCACAAAAATCAAATGATCCTGGGACACTGTAACCACCATACACATGAGCTAGTTGCCAAGGATTCAAATTCTGCTTATGTGACCGTGGGGATGGTGCAACAGCCGTGTGAAAAATGGTTATATGTCACTTTTTTTAGTGCCACTGTTAACTTCCAATGTCCATTAAATGAATGATTTTAAGTCAAGGACTACCAATGCTTGTTTTATGTAATTGTTTTAAGTAAATAAGTAAAAGTAGAATAAGTAAACCTCTTTCCTCTCTGCAAACACAATTATCTATTTAAAGATCTGTGAGGACGCAGGATAAGGCACGAAGGTCACACAGCCAGCTGAGCGTTCAAACCCTCTTTAATGCTCCCAATGTTCCCTCAAACACTCCCATGTTCTTGGCGCATCCCAGAGCAAAGCGCACACATAAACACAGCCTCTGGCCTAGCCTCTGACAAAACAAAGGAACAGGGAAATGAGACCACGAAACAAGGAACCAACAATGAATCCACAAAATCAGGAACAAGGTACTGAGTACATGAAGTCAGGAAGAAGGCACTGAGTTCACAAGTAAGGAAGAAGTCCTGCAAACTCCAAATGTCTGTACTGGCACACCAAACTCTACCAATTCAGTGTTTGCTCCTGATAAATGCCCCTCCCCATAGTGTGTCCTTAAATCTCAGTCCCCAGGTGTGCCTTTTGAAGAGGGGCAGGGCGCTCTCCTCCTGAGTTGTCGGGTCAACCTGCGCTGTTCCTGCCTTCTCTCCACTCTCTGTGCTCGGGGATCAGGAGGGGGGGGTCTTTGCTCATCACCTGAGCTCTGTCGCTCAGGTCCACTGCTTGCCCTCTCACAGTCATCCTGCCCTCGTTCCTCCCTGCTAACAAGCCGTCCCAACCCTGAGGGGCCCTGGGCTGCCTCGACCTACTCCTCCCCACACTCCTCCAAAGCCAATGAAGCCACCCCTACGATCTCTGTTGGCTCCAGCTCCGGCTCATCCTTCTCTGCAGATTCAGGCTCCAACGGGAGTATGACAAGATCTCTTGGGTTCCAATATAGAGCAGGGGTGGGGAACTATGGCGTTTTTTTGACTTGTGGACTTCAACTCCCAGAATTCCTGAGCCAGTTTAAATTATACTTCAATCATCTGGTTCAGTTTCCATTCTGTATAAATGCAGTTCATTTGGGCACCAAAATTGTCCATGTGGCTTCTGCCAAATAGATGGGGGCAATTCCAATCTAGTATAACAATACCTCAGTAGTTCTGCAGGTAAATGTGACCATGCTTCAATAATTATTTCTTACAATATTTTACTTATTTGTTACATTTATATCCTGACTTTTCTCCAAGAGCTCAAAGTGGCTTACATGGGGATCTCCCTTCATTTTATCCCCACAACAGCAAGCAGACATGGTAAAGAAGATTAGGTTCAGTGACTAATTAATGACTAAGGCTGACATCTTCATTGCATCTTCCTGGCACAATAGCTTAACCTCTACATCACTTTACAAAAAAAAAATTCAGCAAAATCAAATGAAGTTTACCATTTTTTTCTCTTATTTTTTAAATAGATGCATTTCCTATCATGCCTTACAATACGTTTATCTTCCAAGGATATTATACTTCTGTGCTAGAAGCACGGCAGCTCTTCTGTGGTGAAAAGATCAACAGGTGACATCCCTGTTGCCCAGGGGACACCCAGTTGGGGCTCCTTTCATGTCCCTGTTAAGTTGCCCATCAAAGCTATCTGTCTATTTGCAGTTGCCCACTTTCAAACTGTTGGGTTGGCAGGAGATGAAGTGAGTGACGGGAGCTCACCCCATCATGCAAAAGCAACTGGGCCTTGAACATGAGCCTGCTGATCCTCAGCCCAGTGTCCTAATCGCATGACCCACTGGGCTCTGCCATCTGCTAGGATGATCAGATACAATAGGAGATGGGATCTAGTTGCTAAATCAATGCTTAGGTAAATTTTTGTAGGTAAAGCTCCCTTTATCCCCTACTTCAGGCGTCCCCAACCCCTGGGCCACAGCCCATTACCGGGCTGTGGCCTATTCACAACCAGGCCATGTGAGCCCCGGGTCAGCGCCCATGCATACGGCAAGTAGAGTTGCCAGCCCACTGCTTTCGTGGCCCATTTTTCCTTCCCCCCTCTCTGCTTGGCTGCCAAGCCTCAAAGGTTGGGGACCACTGCCCTATTTTAAATACATTTGAAAGAGACTCTATAGTCAGGGGAAACACCAGCCTCCTTGGGAGTGAACCTGTTCACTGGGGAATAAGAATTCACTTCCTTCTATTTAGGCTGCAAAACTGTCTGTAGGAAAGCTTGCTCATCAAGGAAGGAAAGACCAAAAGGACGTTAAATTTTACTCCTAGATTCATCTCTGTAGTTGAATTATTGTTGGATTTATAATTGAATAGGGTTAGGGTTAAAGTCATCTTCCCTCTTATGCGCCCTATATTTGCCAATTATTTGGCTGCTCCCTGCCTCTATGCTCCCTGCCATAGTCTCAGCAAAGCTAATTTTGAGCATTTTTTTCAATGGGATGCTATTCAAACAGCAGAAAGGCAACATTAGCCTTGATCCTAGTTCTGTCTTAACCTTCTAAGTGTGGCTTTATCACCATCTTGACTCAGTAAGTTACACATTCTAAGTCACTCAGTCACTTTATCCTACTTTATTAAAAAAAAAAAGGGTCCGAATTACCTAATCCTTTCATTATGTCAGGGTTATATTTGTTCAGAAATATAAAGAAGAAATGGACACATTGAATTACATAACCTAAGGCAGTATTATGAAAACATACGCTAACATCTTGTATTTACACTGCCATCAAGTGTTAGGAGATAGAACACCATGTGTTGAAAGTCTCATTAAAAACCAAGTAGCTGTGGAACAGTGTGGACACAACTCTTGCCTGTAACTCTAGCCTTAAATGGTTTTAATATAAACTGAGGCCAACACAAATGCAGCATTCCTAATCATAATTAAAAGGCTGGGAGTATATTGGTTTTCCTTTCTCAAGTAGAAATTCACCCCTTCATTCCATGGCTTTCTGAAAGAATTATGGCTGCATTAATATGTTACCTGACACCAAAGGTGGTGTTCAGTAGGTTATGACCAGTTCTGGAGAACCAACAGTGGAAATTTTGAGTAGTTCACAGAACTGGCAAATACCACCTCTGACTGGCCCACCACCCATTTTTGTTGCCCTGCACAGGAGAATGGAGCTGGAAAGCAGGTTAGTGGGGTGGGGGAGGGATTGGGGATTTTACAGTAACCTTCCCCCTGGAGTGGGGAGGGAATGGAGATTTTACAGTATCCTTCCCCTGCTACGCCCACCAAGCCACCCCACTCCCACAGAACCAGTAGTAAATTTTTTGAATCCTACCACTGCCTGACACCAAGATTTAACACAACCTATCTACCATGAATCATGACAAATGTAGCCAACTAAGCTTAGCTTCTATAATCTTTTGTCTTACTATTCTTCAGAGAGTAGCTTGGAAGCAGAATTATGCTTTGCTGCACATCCTTCCTTTCACACTGCATGTTTGAACAAAGTTATTGGACCATAAATAGAATGAAGGAGCAAATTTGCACATAATAGCTATAAGAGAGACAGCGGAAGAGGTGTAGTATGAACATTTTACTTGTACTCAGGTTAAATGATGGGTAAAATTTATCCCAATGGGGATACATAGCCATAATAGAAAGGCCTCATGAGAATGCATTGCAATGGGTCTAACTACGGTTAGTATTTGTCAGAATTCAGGATCAAAATGGAAACAGTCAGAGTAGCGCTGCTTCTAGCCCTGGTTTCTACTCTTCATCCATAATGAAGGCAAGGGCAGTTGTTTGAGAAGTTGTGAGCCATACAACTGATATTTACAAAACCCTGTTCCAATAGGACCCACTTTGCAGTCAGGCTTAAACATTCTGTATAAGCTAAATCCTGGCTGTCTGCTAAATAGCATAGGAAACTCCTGAGAAATACACAGGGGTGGGCTGCTGGGGGTTCGATGGGGAGGCCGTTTTCGCCCTCCTGGAAGCCAAGTAAAGCCTCCGGAGCCCGGGGAAGGCAAAAACGTGCCCCCACACCATGGTGCAGGAGGCCGACTAGGCCACACCCACCACGGCCATGCCCACCAGCAACTGGGCAGAGAACCCTTTGCTAAAAATTTTTAAACCCACCCCTGGAAATACACAGCATGCATGGATTGTCCATGTGGGCTATAACAAAGAACCAGAGGTGAGGTCAGAGCCTCTAGGCATAGGCTGGGCTGGAATTTTAACTGGAATCCTCGACTTACAACTGGTTGCTTGGAGGTTCAATGCTGTGATAGATGCCTCCCAAGTTACTCATGACCTGGATTCGAATTTTCAACAGCCCCAACTCTTGCTGTGATCACATGATCTCATTTTGGACCCAGCATAAGAAATCCATTATATAAAGTCTATTTACTTGTCCCTAGTACTATTCTAAATGCTGGTTATGATCCTGAGTCATCAGCAAACTCATTCATTTTATTAATGCATAAAAAGGATAAACAACTTTTATGTTGGCATCTATAAAAAACCCAATATTACTGGAACTTGTCTTTTATAAGATACATTCCCATGGAGGGGGAAATGATCCTTTGGACAACAATTATGCTATACCTATATCAATATGTGGACCTTATTTCCATAATTTCTTAATCAATTAATTCTGAATTATTTTATAGGCACTGGTAATTTACTTTTTATTTTACATCAAAATATTCATTTCAAAGACTTCTGTTTTGGTAACACATCAAATAAAAAATAAAAGGTAATTTTAAAAAATCTACATTCTAAAAATATAGTTAATTATAAATTATATCCACTACTTTCAGTATTTATTTTAATTATAAATTATATCCACTACTTTTTATATTGTTCTATGATTCAAGGTCCTTGTTTTATTGGACTTCTCTATTTATTTAGGATTAAGTGCCTACTGAAGAGACGGCTAGCACAAAGATTGATCCTTCTATCCATCCATCCATAACAACTGTTGACCATAACATGTAGTATCAGTTTCAGACCATTAGCAGTATTATTTCCAGAGGGTGTCCATGCAATACATAAATTTTAAATATACCAAACAATGCCTGAATTAGGCATAACAGTTACTGTTCAATGACATGCTATGTGCTGGTTAAGCATTTTAGGCAAAACTCAGGAATCCAAAGTAGAATTTTTTTTTGCAGCCAATGTATTAGTATTTGTGCCTGAAAAGAAGAAGATACTGTGTAATAAGGAAGCCATTCAGTGGCAGTATTTGCAATTGGGATATTTACTGGCATCTTGATTTGGATCTGTGGCATTTTTATCTTCACTAAAAACAAATTTATTAGACTTGATCATTAAATACCATGAGGCAAATACACCCACGAGTAATCATTATAAGTACCTATTATTGATCAATCAATTTGTTATGTACATTTTAAAGACTGCACATTGGAGACCCCCCCACCCCCTCTACTTAAATAATGGGATAACTGTACTTTTAAAAAAATCCTGTATCTTAGATTATGGCTTATTCAGAAAAAAATCATTTTATACTTTTGTTTTTAAAATCTCTAAAATGTTTTAAAATGTTGGACAGAAATACTAACTAGATACAAATACATTCAAGTA